TGTTGCTAGTTAGCCAACCAGCAACGGGCATGAAACTGTATGCAGATGGAGAAGGGCAATCACCCTTAATGGGCGATCAATGGTGAAGGGCAATCACCCTTAATGGGCGATCAATGGTGAAGGGCAATCACCCTTAATGGGTGATCAGGATATGCATAGGGGATTAAGGGGGGGGAATACAAAGAACACAACACTATCCATTTTGTGTTTTTGAAAATTATAGCCTGTGTGGATGCGAGTTCTCATTCTTTTCTGTAATGTACCTTTCTGATAAAATGCTATTTAGAGTAGAATAGAAAAGAACAGAACAGAACAGAATAGAATAGAAACTTTATTGTACACTAATTGGCATACATTAAAATGGAATTTCATTGCATACAGCTCTCAAAGGGACATGTCCATCCCTGTATTTTATCTTGACTTTAAGATGCTTTTGTTTTCTACGTGGAGAACTATAGTTGGTTCTACAAATATCCATCCTTTGTGCCTTGGACGATAAAATAACTGATCCGTTCCTAAGACATCTGTGACCTAGTGAAATTCCCTTTGCTTCTTCATATTTTCCGGTTTTTATGGAAGTTAAAACTTGGAAAATGGCAGATCACATGGAAAAGAAATGTTGCATTCATTGCTGCTAAACTGACCTTAATCAGTTTATAGCACTCAGAATGTTGAGGGTGAAGGTTCATTCTCTCAACTTTTTGTTACCAGGCTATGTAACATTTTCAGTGACATTTAGGAGATTTCTATTTCAGTGCTTTACTATTTATAAGTGCTTTAGGTGGGGATGTGTCAAGTGAGAGTCTTATGATGGGTCAGGTATGAGTCATCAGAGAGGGGCTTGTGATGGGCCTTGTGATGGGGAAGGTACTTCAGGTCATGTTCATTGTAGAGTGTGAATTATCAATGGCTCAGGTATGAGTCATCAGTGAGAGGATGGTGATGGATCTTGACCCCCTGATAATTCACATCATCCCATGGCCCTGACCTGAAGTAACCTCCCCATCACGAGCCCATCTCTGATGACTCACACCTGACACATCATAAGACCCTCACTTGACACACCCACAGCTGAAGTCCTTATAAAGCAGATATATGAAACACAAGGCCTGCGGGTCAGGGCCGGCCTGCCAAGGGCCCAAATTTGGCTCCTGGAGCTGTTCCAGAAATGGCAAGTGACTGGCCCCAGCTGCCCCAGTCCATTGCCCAAGCCCTGGCCCATCCCAACCTGGCTGGGCACCCTTGCAGTGCACACACAGGGAATGGCAAGTGCTTGGATGCTGGTGGTGCACAGGAACAACTGCAGCTCATTTGCCTCACCGTGCTCTGCCCCTCCCAGCTTCTCCCCACCTCTCCACACCTTTCCTGTCACGCCTGGCCATGCCCTGCTTTGTTGGCCCTCTCCTCATCTGGCTCTACTTTGCCAGGCCTCACGTCACCACATCCAGCTCCCTGTTGTTGGTTCAGGCACCAAAGCACCACTGAAAACAGTGGAGTCTGTATGTGCGCCTGCCTTGCCCGCATCAGCCAATCTGTCCATGGCATGCTACAGCTGATTTGAGGTATGGAGAGCATGGCTGATGGGTGAGTTTGTAGCAGGCACACAAACAGACTCTGCTCTTTTTGGCGGCCCTTCTTGCCACTGGGGCTGCTGCTCACCTTCCTAGGCACTAGTGCCTCCATGCCCCACTCACTGGCCTGATGTCACAGCCTGTAAGGCTTCCCTTTCACTGGTATCATCCTGCCCCCTAGTGGGAAAGCCACAGCCGGTGGCAGCATGGCGACCGTGACACTGTTAATATCTCCTCCTCCCCTCATAACTTCTTGAGCATGTAGGAGACAGAATGGGACTTTTAGGCCATGGGGATTCTGCCTGCCAGCATGTGATAGGAGATCGCAGGGGTTTTCGGGGGGACACGGCAGGTGAACGATGGTGGCATGCAGTTTCTGGTATGTGTGGGGCTCAGAAGCAAAACTGCCCTTTCGGCAGATGTAGTGTCAATCCGGTGTGAAATTGATAACCTACCAGTTCCATTAGAAATCTTTCCTTCTAGGCATGGAACACAGTCATAGCAACAGAACTGACTGCCTTCAGCCCTTCTCTTCCAGGATCCTGGGGAACAGGGGTCATTACACAAAGAAACAGGAAGAACCTACAGACATAAACATAGCCATTGATATGAAAGAATCTCGATTAAACAATGGAAATGATTTACATTGACTTACATAAATGACCCTTAACATTGTTAACATTTTACAGAGGTTTAGGGTTAGGGTTATTTATTCCTTTGTATCTGAACATGATTGAGCCATAGTGGCTCAATGGTTAGAATGCAGTATTGCATGCTAATTCAGGTCATTGCCAGGAATTCAGTCCTCACTGGCTCAAAGTTGACTCAGCCTTCTATCCTTCTGAGGTCAGTAAAATGAGGGCCCAGATTGTTGGGGACAATATGCTGACTCTGTAAACTGTTTAGAGAGGGCTGTAAAGAACTATGAAGCAGTATATACTGTACGTCTAAGCACTATCACTATTACTTTTTAATAATGTAATAAATCAACAGCCCAATTGCTATTCATACTTGGTTAAAACCAGGATGCCAAAGGATTGTGTTCTCAATGATAACTTCTTTTCCTTTTGGAGCATTAGGGTGTAACTTTCCAGCTTTAACTCTCTGAAAGGATCTGTTTGGGAAAATGATCATGTTGATAATGTCAAAGCCACCTGGACCTTCTCTTCTGTTTTTAAAGAAGACTTTTTCTCCAGCTGAGTTGTTAAAAGAAATCTCTTGAAGAAACTGATGGAGCTACTTGAAGGAAAAGAAGAAAGTGATTTAAAAAGGAAACAATGCATCAGGAATTTCTCTTTCTTTTACTCTTCCTTCCACGGAAACCAAACAACATTCCCTGTCTTCAAATACAGAAGAAGAAAATGTCAACAGATCAAGAACAATCATTAACTGAAATATGGAACTTACTTTATCAATTAATCATCATGAGTACTTTAAAGACAGCAAAATCAGCAATTCTTCTGGTAATTTACCATAAATCTAAAAACCAACATCATTTCATGGAATTAACACACCTCTGCTACAATAGAACAACTGTCATAAGTTTTATGTTCCCAGGATAACAAACCTGCCTTGATTAAATTTCAAAAAATTAGTAAAAAATGAAATGTTCCCATTTCAGAAAGATTTGTTGGGCAAAAAACAAAGACTGCCTTCAGATGCCTCTCCATTGTATTCTTGGAACCAGGACTGATGAATTTATAAGTCAGGAAAGAAGAAATTGTGATTAATGGAATGATGGTAGATACATTCATCCCTTTGACTAGACCAAAATTTGCAAAGGCAGTATTACTTTTAAATATCTTTTATTCCGTAACAAAGAACAATCTCTTACAATAAAACTCTAGTTGCTTTAGGATCTCTAATGATATGTGGCCATAGGCCAGGCCAAACAAGTCATATCACATTGAGAATTACTATTTGCTAAAACAAAAGATAGGAATGGCATGGGGAGATTACCTGCCAAGGCTGCAGATTTGGAAATTCAACCCTTTGAATTTTTGTCCACTTGGGACTTGATGTCATTGCCTCATGCAAAGAATGTGCCACTGCATAAACAGCATTGTAGATACTGTAGCTTTGGCTAGTCATCTTCAACTCAAACAGAGGTGCAGGCAGATTCTCCAAATTCTCTTCCCCACTACAAACTCCATTGATAGATGAAGGTAAGTTTGCCTTTAAAAACACACAGTCAAACAATTGTTGCCAAACCTCTTGAAGAAATCCATCTTTGTGGATTGAAGGTTTGATGACTTGAAGAAATTCTTTGAAGCCTTGAATGTCTCTTGAATGCACTGTAAAGGAAAGAGCCCCATGGTACATCTGAAGATCCCAACTCCTTTGAGTTCCCGTCAGTATGAAATCAATTGGGTTCATCAGGATCCAAACCTTTGTAAATATTGATATGTCTTTATTTTCTGGATCACGTAGAAACATGACAGTTCTGAGCCACACTATTGTGAATGATTCTCCATAGACAAGAAAAACATTCGCTTTCCGATCCATCAATTTATCAGAAATAATTGAGACTGAATCGAACAATTCTGACAAATCTTCTAAGTGGATATGTTGTGGAATTGTTTGTGTGAAAGCTAAACAGATCCCATTCTGTGAAATCAATGGCTGCAGTTTCTGCAAAAAACGTTCTCCCTTAGTTTCAAAAGTAAAGACTCCAATCCACCTCCATCCAAAATGGAGGAAAAGTTGTATAACTCCCATGTACTGATAGTCCTCATTTGGCACCATGCAATAAAGTGAAGATAATTTGTTACTCTGAAATTCTTCCTGGGCAAAAGAGCCATAGGTCAACTACAGGAAAAGAATGAAAGAAGGAAGGAAGGAAGGAAGGAAGGAAGGAAGGAAGGAAGGAAGGAAGGAAGGAAGGAAGGAAGGAAGGAAGGAAGACAGACAAAGAGAAAAAGGAAAGGAAGAGAAGGGAAGGGAACGGAAGGGAACGGAAGGGAAGGAAAGGAAAGGAAAGAAGGAAAGGAAAATTATTATTTATGATAACCAGTGAAAAAAGATGGAAAAATGACTCCTGGATGGAAACTGAACAATTGAAAAGTTCTCAAACTCTAGTTGCATTATGGATTTGATGAACATTAAAGCAATAAAACCTCCAAGATGAAATATTTTCTCACTGAATGAATATAACTGGACTACAAGCTAAATTTAGTTTGCTACTATAGACTTCCAGATAGTTCATGTCTATGAACAGCCTGAAACCTGCTAACTATCTGAGCATGTAACCTCTTTCTAGCTTAGGAAAAAGCTTTTTAAGAGCTAGGGTTATTGTGTTATCTTCTGCCGTTCTCTGCCCCAGGTAGAGAATGCATGAAACACTATCCACAAGACTCTGGAGGAACAGAAATAGTCAAGTATGTCTTCATTTACTGCAATTATTATAGAAATCTCCAAAAGTAACATAAAGCTCCAATCCTTCAACAATTTCCAGGCAAATCAGTTGAATTTTACATTCAGTTATTATTAATAGACACCAACCCACACATAGCAAAGAGAGTTGTCACTATTATTGGGTGACTTGGTGGAATCTAGCAGTGAAAATGTGAAAAAGTGAAAATGCTGGATAGCCTTGAGTTGGGGATGGGCAGGAAGTGACTGAAAGCAGATCCTCCCTAAAACCATGAGACATGATAGCAGTGTTCCAATATTTATGAGTTCCTACAAAGATGAGAGGGTAAACTAGCTTCCAAAGCACCAAAGGCAAGAGGAGAAACAATGAATGGAAACCAATCAAGGAGATAAACAACCTAAAAATTAGGAGAAATTTCCTAATGGTGAGAACAATCAACCAATGGAACAGATTGCCTCCAGAATTTGTGAGTGCTGCATCACTGGAGCATTTGAAAAAGAGACTGGAAAATCAATTATGTGAAATTGTATATGGTCTCATGCTCAGAGACTTTATGTACCAATTGTGTAGCATGTGCTAGCCAGCCTTTTCACTCCTTCTCTCAACACAGCTCCAGAATTCAACTACATGTAGTAGTCATACCGGAAGATCAGATGACCATCTCAAATAAGATTAATTTTGTACTGTAATTTGTGGTTTAAATTTTACTTTTGTAATATTTCAAATAAAAGATTTTTATTTTCTTGATTGATTACTTTGAGCCAACCTATTGGGTTGTGAGAAAAAAATTGTAGAAGGGAGAAAAAGTGGAGTTAATTGAAGTCCTACGGAAAGGCATGCCCAAAAAATAATCTCTGATATTCATTTAAAAAGAAAGAAAAGTTTCTCTTTCAGCCTTCTGCTAAAATTACCTGTGGAATCTTGAAGATACTTATAATTTGTGCCATGTAGGATGAAGTAGGAACATCTAATCCTCCAATGATGGCCATGAGATTCTTCTGGGTATAACATTTGTAGTTAGAGACAAATTCCTGGGATTTGAAAAGTAGGTCCAGAGTGGAGCGATAGGTCATGCTTGGGTTGTAGTAACTATCATAGATGTGGAACCCAAGGGTGATGTTAGGTAAGATCTGGGAGTCCTCATTGATCTCCTTCACAGCAAAGGCCAAGGCAAGGACATGCTGGTAGAATTTGGTTATTACACTGCAAATAAATTAAATACCCCATTGAAAATAGAATTTCACAATTCTTATAAGGAGGCATGCTCTCTATATGAATAACAAACCATCTCTCTTGGAAGTAGGCATAGAATATCCTTTCTAAAATATTCAATAATTTCCACAGAGTTCAGTTCTGCATTTTACCTGGTGTTTTCATGATTTGCAGCCACTATATACAACAGCAAATAAAAGTAGTGACATTTTTTAGTTAACAAATATACTTCTAACAATTTGGGCACAAAGTATAATAGGAACAGCTTCAGCAAATATCATTTATTTACTGTATGTATGTTTTGTAAGGGGTGATCATGGAGAACATTTTTTAAATTACCTCAAGCTCATTAAATTATACAATAAATTAAACATTATATTAAAGTCCTTCTCATGAAAGTTTGGTGTAAAATGTCCTTCAATAGACCTCTTGCACTAAACTTTCATGCATTTCATGAGAAGGTCTTTAATATAATGTAAAGAAAGCATATAACAGAAATTTTGGGGGACCTGGCTAAGCTAAGAAAATATATGGGAAAAATAAAAATTCTTACAGAGGTAAGTCATAAGGTTTTAGAGAAGGGTGTTCCTTAAATTCAGTTTCATAAAAGTGGTAAAAAATGTGAGACACCATCCCACCAATGACAAGATCACCAGGCTGGAACCACTCATGTGGAATAGGGAAAGCTTCACTTGAAGGGCATCTCAGAGTAACTACCTTGTGCATCAGGAACATCAAAAGGAATAACATCTTCATGTTTTTGGGATGGTGAAAATATTTGTCTGTTCCAGGGTATGTATGCACCCCAATGGTTCATCCACTGTTTAATCCAAAGATTTTATCTGAAAATGCTCTTCATGGGACAATCCATCAATTTCTGTTTGAAGAGCCATGCATGTGCCAATTTGAATATCACCAGGATCAGAATATATATTCTGCAAGGAAGAAAGGCAGGAGGGAACGTGACACAATGAATCAGACAGGATCATTATTATCCCTTGTGCCAATCTCCCTGTGGTTCAAAAGTTAATTAACAACCAAACAGATACCTTGATTGTTGTTGAATTGAAATGCCTTCATGCAAAGTCTTTAATATTTGAGCCTGGCTAAAAAAATATAGTGATTCCTGTAGATAATTGTTTTATTTTTCATGGAGGAGCAGGTGGAGTTTTTGCCTCACAGTCAGGAGGCTGTGAATTTGATCCTAGGTAGTGGCAGATGTTTTTCTCTTTGGGCACAGAGAGAAAATATCTGCTGTGAACTCCATGTAGGCATCAGGAAGGGCATCAGGCCAGTAAATGCTCAGGTCCATTCAGTCACCCTGATTCCACCCGAAAGCAAGGGATTACAGGGTCATTAAAAAACTTTTATTTTTCATGAGAGAATAAGTGGCTGATAGTTTAATTATTTTTTAAATGAACACATGTCAATATAACTAGTCTAAGTTAGGGCACCACGAATCACAATAAGAACTATTGAACTAGTACACAAAGAAGAGAAAAAATGTGGTTACTGAGTGTGACTGTCAGAATTTTCATGGCTCTGTTTCAATAGGTTGTGTGTTCCACCAACAAATCCTTGTCTTTATGCATAATGTCCCATGAGGACCCCTATATCTTCTCTGAAACTGTCATGGCTACCTCACCATATGTTTGTGGCTTTTTGGGTGCTGCTTCCTTTATTGTTGGTTTTTGATCCTAAGAAGAAAAATCTGCATAAACATCAGGATCTTTTTTGTCAATTCTAAGAATGGGTGCTGCACGTTAATCTGTTTTTTTAAGCTATATTTAATCATATTCTCATTTGCAGTAGAAATTGCCAGGTTTTATATTCAATGAATTTACAGATGATAAATCAGGCATATATGATAATAATCCTGCTTTAATTTTCTTCCTAAAAAAAATTCCTTTTAGGCTTTGCTTAAATGACAATCCAGCGGTCTCCCCAAAGTTATGCAGAGGGCTGCCCAAATTGACCATGAATTTAAACCTGCATCTCCCTAATCTTTCTTTTATTGGCTAAAAAAGAACCTATGTAAGCATTTTTACATGTTTTCACTTTTGTTGTAACTGCATGAGAATTAGAGAGGGCAATCCTCTTTAGAGATGGGATGGATTCCCTCCCAGCCAGTTCCAGCCTGACTGCAAGGTTGCTGAGCCCTGAGGATGACCCGTTATCTGTCCCATACCTCAGCACTCTCAAAACAACCTTGCAGCACTGTATTGGCTGCTGATGGACTGGTCAGGGGGGTTGGGTTTCGAAATGGGAAGAATAGCTTGATGGTTTGTGCGGGATCATTAGATTCTGCCTGACCTTACTGCAATCTTTACTGTTTCTCAGTAAAAGTTCTTTTGATTAACCTTATGGTGTCAAGAGTTGTACTTTCCTGAGAAAACTAGTTGGGGCAGGTTCTTACATTAGGCAGAATCTGCAATAGTGGTCAACCCGGAGAGGTTGACCATGCAAGGAATGTTTGTACAAGGCAGCTATCTCTATCTATCTATCTATCTATCTATCTATCTATCTATCTATCTATCTATCTATCTATCTATCTATCTATCTATCTATCTATCTATCTATCTATCTATCTATCTATCTATCTATCTATCATCTTCATTAGAACATTCACAATATTTTCCACATATATTTTCATCTTTGTGGTCTCTTCCTGTACAAGATAGAGCTTCAGATTTATTTCAAGATTTCACCTTTGCTTTTCATACCAAATGCCACAATTATCTCTTTTTTAAAAAACAACAACAATTTTTATTAGTTTTCCATTTTACACCAACAGAAGCTTAAGAGCCAACGTAAAGATATGGTGGTCAATTACAAAAGAAATAATAACATTATAAATATACAATTCACACAATATTTCTTAAAATTTCCCTCTCTATCTATGTAGAATATTATAATCAAATAAATTCATTCAAATCAATTCATTCATTAATATATCTAAATATAAGTTCCCTTAATCAGTAAAAACTTTCAACCGCTCAATATCAATATAATAATCAAATTAGTACAATACTAAAACCAATTCATTCATTAATATATCGCTAGATATAAATTAAATGCTTAAATCTAAACTAACACTCTCTATCTATTTAAATTATTGTAATCTCATTAGTACATTTCTAACACAAATTTTCCTTAAATATATCGCCGAATATGAATTTCATTAATCAATAAACGTTTACAAAAGCTCATTATCTATCCCAAAGATCCTGTTTTAGACTTTATTAATTTTTCAAATATTTAAATTTAAACTAACCTATTTATTTCACTATTCAGGGGCCCCAAATTTCTCTTATTTAAACATATTAGCTCCAAAAATAAATTCTTACATTTCTCAGCTATATTTATATTCTTTTTCAATAATTCTCCAATTATTAATTCCATCTCATTCCCAAAAAAAACCACAAAAAAGAAAAAACAAACATACACAAAAATATATATTTTTATATATTTCATTATTAAATTCTAAATCATTTCATAATAGCCTCCCTTTTAACAAAATCCAAATCCAAGACAGTCCAAATCACTATAAAACCTGTACCATCCATAATTATCATCTCAAATTTAATATTTATATCTTATTCTGGGTTTCTTTCTATTCCAAATAGGTTTCCATAGTCGAGTCTCTAGTTCCGCAAATAGCTCTCCCATTGTCTCCTGCCACACTGTACACAGCAACAAGAGGTCTCCCATTGTCCATTTTATTAGGCTGATATAAGAGTTATAGCCATTCTGAAAAGCTCATACCAAAACGTCATTTCCCATCTTTTTTAAAGTTGCATAAACTTTAGTTGAAATCATTTTTTTAGTATAGTCCTCTTTAGTCAAGTTTTGCTTTTCTTCCAATAGAATTTCCTCTATCAGAAAGTCAAATGGTATCTGCAAATCAGCTTGTCCTTCTGAAGTAAACTCCTCCATTTCCTTATTATAGGTCATTTGTCCATTAATATACAAGGCTTTTTCCCAGTATCAATTGATAATCCAAATGTACATTTGCTTCTTCCATCTCAGTGGACTGAGAACAAGTCTCTTGAATATAAACTGCAGTTTCAGTTAAACCTTGTGCTTGACTTTGTCGATGTAAAGAAATCTCCTTTCTGCAGGCAATTATCATCTCCGTGTTTTCCAAAATATTGTCCAAAATATACTTATAAATAGAATCTGAATGGGTTTCCTCCATTTATATTTGAAGACATTATCTTTTGGGGGGAGACTGTATTTAAAGGCAATCAATCAATATCCATCTCCTCCCAAGTTTCTTAGTCTTTTTCCTTTGTACAAATTCCAAGAGAAAAAAAAATAGCAAGAACAATACGTAGTTTCAGCAGAAGATGTCCCCCGACAAATAATCAAAGTTAATCAAATAATCAGTCTTTTCGGACACCATAAAAAATAAAAGAAAACAATACTCTCCAAATACATAACATCTTAAATCTCTCTAAAAAAATTTCTTGGGGCTCCCAAGTATCCAAAAATAAAATCAGCCATTAAAACAAAAATAGATTTAGTTCTTTTCTTAAGCTTCTCTTCCCCCATTTAAAATGCCACTTCAACAAAAGGGGAAATAATTCCAAAAAAGAACTTTTCACAGGAAAAAAAAAGAAAATAGAGGTAAGANATAATATAATATAATATAATATAATATAATATAATATAATATAATATAATATAATATAATATAATATAATATAATTAATATAATATAATATAATATAATATAATAATATAATATAATATAATATAATATAATATAATATAATATAATATAATATAATATAATAATATAATATAATATAATATAATATAATATAATATAATATAATATAATATAATATAATATAATATAATATAATATAATATAATATAATATAATATAATAATAATAATAATAATAATAATAATAATAATAATAATAATAATAATAATAATAATAATAATAATAATAATAATAATAATAATAAAAGTTGGAAGGGACCTTGGAGGTCATCAAGTCCAACCCCCTGCTCAGGCAGGAAACCTTATACCATAAAAATTATAAAAGCTAAACTAAAAAAGCAGTAAATCAAATCACTCTTTATTATGGTAATTGACTAGCATACATATCTAATAAAGCAGACATGTCAAACACAAGGCCCAGGGGCCGGATGCGGCCATGAAGTGGTTTCATGTGGCCCGCGAAGCCATCCTGGATACAGTGAGGGAAAGGCCCCCGCTGCCTTGGCTCTGGCCCAGGCCAGCCGGGAGCCAATATACAATTTTGTGGTGGCCATCTTGGCACTTGCCCTGGTGGACCATGCCTTGGCACTTGCCCCGGTCCCACCCCCTTCTGCCAGAGACCCTCAGATCTGTCCCAATCCTGCCCAGGCCCCCACAGGCACTCTTGACGCAAATGATGTAGAACTGGCCATGCCCACACAGTAGGCCACACCCACTCCATCCATGTCCACCCAGTAGGCTGCACCCACTCTGGCCACACTCACCCGGCCCCCCAAGGGCAGCCACAATGCTGATGCGGCCTTCAGTGAAATTGAGTTTGACACCCCTGTAATAAAGCATGTGGCAGAATACATTTCTTTTCACTATTTTTTCATATTATTAAAATATGATAAAATGTTACAGTGGAAATCAAATGATGGTTAGAAAGTGAATAGTTATGATCAAGTATAAAACATTTTTTAAAAATGCATTTATATTTCAGAAATTCTATAATTTTCACATTTCAAAAAAACCCCTAACCAATACAAAACTGATTCCATGTTAAATACATACTCATAAAATGTAATTAACTTTTTACTACACTTATCAAATTGTTTAAGAATGGAAAATATAAAAACCATGTACATGGCAGCTGCAAACTTTGGACATCCTTTGAGTTAACATCTCTAGTATCCTAACATTAACTAAGGAAGTTGGATTCTCATATCCTTGTTATCTTGGAATGTTGAAAGAGAGAAAGGGTTAGGCAAAAGAATTTTGGAAAGTTATTGCAAATGAGCATGAGCACTTCTGTTGGAATGGGTGACCATAATAAATCTTAATAATCATATTTTTTAAATTTTCTCTTAATGACTATAATCCCTTGCATCGGGGTGGAGTCAGGGCAACTGAATGGAACTGATTGTTTACTGACCAGATGCTCTTCCTGATGTCTACATGAAATTCACAGCAGACAATTACTCATTGCACTCAGAGAGAGAAATATCTTCAGCTATCTAGGATCGAACTCATAGCCTCCTGACTGTGAGGTGAGAGCTCCACCTCTAGGCCACTGCACTGCATAATAATTCTCCATAAATCATTCTTTGACAGAAATAAAAGCTATATTTTTCTACACTTTTCTGTCAGCAGTTTGTCATACCAAGGAAGATTACATTATGTATTAAGTCCTCTTTATGAGTTGCTCTTTGTGGTTTAACTCAGGCCGGAAAACAATGATGTAGCACTTTGGCAAAAATATGCATCCCAGTAATGCAGCACTGGAGGACAAGATGGAGAAGACCTCCACAGCTACCATGGCTTTGCCTTTTGTGCTCAGATAGGCTGGAAAAAAGGAGACCCAAATACTGCAGAAAGCCAACATACTAAAGGTGATGAACTTGGCTTCATTAAAGCTGTCAGGTAATTTACGGGCAAGAAAAGCCACAATAAAGCTGGCAATGGCTAAGATACCCATGTAGCCCAAAACACAGTAGAAAAAGAAAGCTGACCCCTCATTGCACTGTAAAATCATTTCTTGGAGCTCTGAATGCATGTCCAACTCAGGGAACGGTGGAGATGTTGACAACCAAAGCGTACAAATACATACTTGCAAGAGAGAACAGCAAAGTACAGTAGAAAAGGCCAATCTTTTCCCCACCCATTTCCTCATTTGAGACCCTGGTTTAGTGGCCATGAAAGCCACAACTACAGTGATGGTTTTGGCCAGTACACTAGAAATGGCCACTGAAAAAGTGATGCCAAAAGTTGGTTGTCGGAGAAGGCAGGTCACCTTGTCAGGTTGGCTGAGGAACAACAAAGAGGAGAAAAAACAGAGCAGAAGAGAAACAAGAAGGGTGTAGGTGAGGGACCTGTTGTTGGCTTTGACAATGGGAGTATCCCTGTGTTTAATAAATATTCCAAGTGCCCAAGAAGTCAAGAAGAAGAAACAAAGAGATGCTAAAGCTAAAGTATTTCCTAAGGGTTCTTCAAAAGTTAGAAAGACTACCTGTTTCAAAATACAGCCTTTCTTTTCTTTATTTGGATAATGATCTTCTGAACATTGAAAACAGTCATCCATATCTGAAAGAAAAGTCAAGACATGTGGTTATACATTCCATATTTTTGAAAATAATATTCTTTATGGGTGCCAACTGTTATCCCTTTCAAGTTTTCTATTGGCTATCAGTTGGATCATGTTTCTATGGAATTGCAGTTTTTCCATCATTGTATCAGTTGGGACCAGCATAAAAGAAGTACAATGGGAAGGGCAATTATTCTATGAAATGGAGTTCTGTCTAGCACAGTGGTGGTGAACCTATGGCACGCGTGCCGGAGGCAGCACTCAGAGCCCTCTCTGTGGACACGCGTGCCGTGCCCCGGAGATGGCGAGGGACTGGCCCCTATTACCCTGGCCCCACCCACCCAGTCTGCCATTACCACCGCGGCCACGCTCACCCGGCACCTGGTGATAAATAAGTGGGTTTTGGGTTGCAGTTTGGGCACTGGGTCTCTAAAAGGTTCGCCATCACTGGTCTAGCATTTTCAAATTTATAAACATTTAAACCATTTAGACTTTTCCCATTTTTCCTAAACATGGAGCAGAAATCTGTGAGGACGGATATTAAAGTTTAACTCTTATGGGCAACCTTTGAATTCAGAACAACAGATTTTGATTCACAGGTATAGAAATGAATATTCACCTTGAAGAACTCCCAATACTATTTGTTACACTACAGTAGTGTATTACAGTTTGCTTAGTTCTATCTAATGAAAACTTGCTGGAATGTTTAACCTACCCTTTTGATCTGAAATTTTCCCTTCTGGGCAAGGAACACAGTTGTAGCAACAGAACTGTTTTCCTTCCAACCCTTGTTTCCAATAGCCAGGGTAGCAATGGTCATTACACTGAGAAAATGGAATAACCTGGTGATAAACATAAAAGATTTTGCAAAGGGAAATTTTTAAGCAGTTTGTATTGTTCTCCTTTATAATGGAGGGGGGAGAGAGAAGAATATTTGAATTCCTAAAGGGTTAGTCCAGGTGTATTTATAAGGTAAAGGTTTCCCTGTCTAGATGTGTCTGACTCTAGGGCACAATGCTCATCTCTATTTCTTGTCCAAGGGAGCTAATGTTGTCTGAAAACATTTTCCATGATCATGTAGCCAGCATGGCTATATGCCAAAGGCCCCTGGAACACTATACCTTCCCACCAAAGTGGTACCTATTAATCTACTCACATTTGCATGCTTTTGAATTCCTAGATAGACAGAAGCTGAGGTAGGAATGGGAGCTCACCCTGTTGCCCTTAGGTCTCAAACCCTGGCTCTCAGCTTTCCAGTTGACAAGCTCAGTATCTTTAACCACCAAGCCATCACATATTTATACTATCCATTAAGATGTTGACATTATAAGGATGTGCAAAGAGCACATTTGGAGAATGGCAGGGTGAATAAATAGCAATAGGTGTGAATGAGAAGAAGGAAGGAAGGAAGGAAGGAAGGAAGGAAGGAAGGAAGGAAGGAAGGAAGGAAGGAAGGGGGAGGGAGGGAGAGAGAGGGAGGGAAGGAAGGGCAGTAGCAATATTACTTAGATTTATATACTGCTTCACAGTGCTTTACAGCCCTCTCCAAGCAGTTTACAGAGTCAGCATATTGCCCCTAACAATCTGGATCCTTAGTTTACAGACCTTGGAAGAATGGAACATTGAGTCAAGCTTGAATCAGTGAGACTTGAACTGCCAAACTGCTGGCAACCAGGAGTCAGCAGAAGTACCCTGCAGTACTGCAGTCTAACCACTGTGCACCAGGGCTCTTGAAATATGTGTGATTGCGAATGAAAATAAAACCTAAATATGAAAAACTGTCTTTTACATTACAATGTCATTTTGTCAATTTGATGAATGCTTGATCATTGACAATATTTGTACATAATATGCCATTTTTCTTTCAAAAAAGACAAATTAGACTTCTAAAGAGACTATGTTCAATATTGGATCATAACAGATCAAATAGTTGATTAAATGATCCACACCTGGTTAAAACCTGGGTGCCAGATAATCAGCTCTTCATCAATGAATAATTCCTTCCTGTTGAGAATATGAGGATCCATCTTTCCAACTCTAACTCTCTGAAAGGATCTATTTGGAAAAGTGATCAAGTTGGTGATGTCGAATCCACCTGTTGCTTCCCCTTTCTCATTCAGGAAGACTCTCTCCCCAGCTGAATTGTTAAAAGAAATGCCTTGAAGAAATGAATGGAGCTACTTGAAAGAGAATGAAAGAGAGGGGGAATCATGAAAGGGTAATAATGAAAAAGTGGCCAGTATATTTAACTTTCACTTACTCTTTCTTCCCATTGCTCTAACAAACATCAAATAAGTACACTTAGAATATAGATCATCTATATTTCAGAGAAAGACACAGGTCTGTTCTATTATTAATTTAATGTTACTTACAAGGAAAAAAAGAAACAATAGCAGTTAACAAATCAAAATCAAAACAAATTATTGACATTATACAACTTGATTTAGATATGATTTATATCCACTATTTAAACAATTTGACAATCAAATTTGGACCATATCTAAACTCATCCTATATTGTTTGCTCTTCATTAGTACAATGAAGACCTGACACATTTCCTTTAGCCAGATTTTATCATCTGAGATTCAATTGTTTTGAGAGAGAGAGAGAGAAAGAGAGAGAGAGATTAAGAGAATGAGAGAGAGAGAACTCTTTCAAACATAGAGTTGTTTCCAAGGGTGGAGGCCCGCAGCTGAAAAGGACTGATGTTTGATCCATACCTCTTGAACATTGATAGAGAGAGAGAATGCTCTCCATCCCAACTCTGAAATGTTCATGAGCCAAGGAGAAGTAGATAAGGGAACCGGCTGAGGATAATTTTGGATAAGAATAATTGTTTACAAGCTAATATAAAAAGTGAAATGTCTACATTTCAGAAATGTTTTGGGGCACAAAAAAAGAAAGGCTGCCTTCAGACACAAGACAATTTAATTCTTCTTGGAACCAGGTTGGATAAATTTACAAGACAGGCCAATTCTATGTGGAGGTGAAAAGTTTTTTATACAATGAAAGTTGATGCATAAATCCCACTGACTATACCGAAATTAGTAAAGACATGGTTTATGTCCATCCTCTTTTATTTTATAAAAGAGACCACTTTGATTAGAGACATTGGACTAGACAGCTATATAAGACACAGGAAACTGTTTGTGGACTTTCTACATGCTAAATATAATAACAGATGGTTAACAGAGGGATTTGAAGATTGGTGCAATATTTAGCTCAACCTGTTGACTGCCTTTTCTTCTTGGAACCTACATGTTAAATGTTAAATTTAATTGATCACTTTTACCTCCTTTTTTGTGCACTATTTTTTTGGGGTTGTGGTGTTTAGGGTTGAATGTATATTTTTGTTTTGTTACATTTTATTTGTTTGTTTTACTGTTCTGTATTTTTTTTTTATTGAAAATTTTATAAAATTTTACAATATAAATCCCCCCCTTCCCCAACCCACCCTTCCACTCCCCCTCCCTCCCCCATCACTTCCCAGTGCCAATCACAGGGTTAACAATAAAATAATCATAATCTAACTAACATTAATCAACTATTAAAATAACATATCTATAACCTCCTTTAACTCTCTTTTAAACAAATATACAGTTATTAAAAACAATAATAATAACATTACTTTAATAACTAAAAATAGTACTAAGTAAACTATTCTAACCTTTATACAACAATAATACTCTAAAATTCACTCAAAAACCAAATGATATTTTTTGGTCCCATATTTACGCTCAATATAATCTATCCATCTTCTCCAAACCAAAATATATCTTTCTTGTGAATAATCCTTCACATAAGCGGAAATCTTGGCCATTTCTGCTAAGTTCGAG